TGTCGGCCAGCATCCCCGGTGGACAGCAGTCAATGAAGCCGTCTGATAGGACCTGCACCCCTCCCACACCACAGATGACGCGCTTGTCCGTCGAGACGACGCCTTCATCGTCGTTTGCAGCTTCCTCGCTGTCTGCATCGCAGAGCCCCTGTCTTCTTTGCTCCTTCGGCGCCCTACTTGTGTTCGCACGATATACTTCAGGGGTCGCTTCCGCTATCTTGAGCTCCTCGTTGCTGATTGGCAAACTGAACTCCACTTTTTTTGTGGATTTGCCCCGTCTGTCGCAGCGACCAGTCCCACTATTTCGGGTTTTCTCCTTCTCCTGTCCCACAACTTGTCTCGAATGGTCGGAGCCTCCGTCTTAAAATAGTTCCGAGTCCACATCATCGCGCGATTTAGGAACGCCTCCGTAGATGTTCCACCTACTCCGAGGAGGTACCCTCGCAGAACCTCCTCATCTAGAAAATCTTCGTCCTTCTTGTCGAGTAACGGGGGAACCTCTCCTGCCGCACCGGCTCGTTCCACCCGTCTGAATATTCTAGCTTGCGCTCCATCATGGCATTCCTTTCTTGTTTCAGGAGCTCGTACACTCGACACCTAATTTTGGAACGCCATCTGAGCGGAAGCGTTCCAACCTCCTCGTCGGGAGCCCTGGTGGTCGGAACGGCTGAATTGTCGAGATCAACACACACGTTCCGCTCAAAGTCACGCTCTTCGGCTTCCTCAGCTGAGCCTTGTAATTCTGTACCAGCACCCATCTCATCGGAGACCACACTAACTACAGGCGGCGGCCGTTCCGTTTTCTCACTAGCTTTTTTAAAGTCTCGATTTGCTCGCTTTGCCCCCCGTTGAAGCCTCCAGCCGCCGGTCATACCAATGCAGTCAATACTCAGGCGTTCTTAGCTCTCCTGACGAGACTATTCGTGTGCGTTCCAGCACTTCCTCTGAGATTCCTAGCATCGCACTCATTCCCAATAGAGTCGGCGCTCCCTGTTCCTCGGCGTTCCGTATTGTTCGCAGAAGAGCTCCCTGTTCATCCACGGGGTACAATCGGTCCTCAAGTTCCTTCTAGTTCTCCTCAGGTTCATCCCTAGCTCTGTGACCTTCACCGTGCTCGAGCATATCCAGCTCCTCGTCGGTGAACAAGCGGTCGTAGCATCCTGTAGAATCCTTCTCCTTAGTACTTTCGGTCTCCTGAGTGATCGTCGCAATAACCACTCCTATTACCACCGAAACTTGATTTGCCCTCGCACTGGCCACTAGGCCTTCAGGCAATTCCGAAAGGTATGTAGTTGCTCCCGGGGTCGTCCTTCCCCCTGTGAACCTTGCTTTCCTTTTCACGTTCGTCGTGGTGGCTGTCTCCCTAGCACTCCCAACATCCCGGAGGGGCTTCAGCGAGGGTCGAATGAGAACGCCACTTCTCGGGGCGCTCCCGACACGAGCGCTTTCAGATTCTCACTCTGTCCAGGCCGACGAGCGATATGCTCCAAAACGACACCCAACCACTATTGTTTCCCAGGCGTCTCGGGTTCTGACAGGACCTCTTTCACTATCCCCAGTACCTTGGCTTCGTAGCGAGATGCTTCCCTCGTAGCGTCGCTTCGTCCTTCCGAATCGGCTGAGCGGGGCGTTCCCGTTTCTGCGGGAACGCCCCCACTTCTTCTGACGCGGGCCTCTTCTTGTTCGCCGCCGCCGGCGGTACTAGGCGCGCGCTTGTCTTCTTCGTAGGTCTCGGCTTGGATTGGTGACTCGGGCAGTAGTGGAGACAAACATCCCCCACTTTCTTTTCTTGTCTCACCGCCGTGTCCCTCACCAGACCAACCGTGGGCGCTCATAGCATTCCCACTTCCTTTTTCCTCCCGCTTTGGCGTTTCAATACCAAAGGGGTGGCTCACTCCGCGTTTACGTTCCTACGATTCTTTGGCGTGAAGAAACCCTGCTTCTCCACCAAATTGTAGCGGTAATTCTCCTTATGTCGGGGTCGTGTATCTAGCAGGCCGACGTAAGAACTTAGGTTTATCACGTAAATGTAAAGTTGTTGTCATATTCTCGTGCTCTTCTCTTGTAAGAAGGAAAATCATGACTGAGCTTCTACCTAAAGCTCCAAACTGAGCGCTAAGCCCCCTACCTTCTCGTAAACCACTACCACGTGGAGGTCCAACGTAAATTCTCACCGTTGTCGACGGCCAGGCGGTACACTCTAAGCTTGGAACGCCGCCGATTGGGCCGGAGGGCACAGTTGCTTGGACTTGGCCTGCGACTTCTGCAGCAAGCAGATCTTCCGGACGCAGTGCGAGAGATTGGCGAGTCCGCCTTCCAGCTGTAAATCGTGACATTACGTTTATTTGCCTGCGTACGAGGAAGAAACTCGCCAAGTGCTTCGAAAGATAACCTCCATGAGCGTGGAAGCGAGGAGCAGCGACCTTACACAGCATGGAAAGCTAACTTCTACATCGGAAATTCCAGATTGGTTTGGCAAGTACTACGAAATACTAATTTGCACGCTTGGGTGGTCATGACCAAGCCGCTCGACGGTAAATTGCGACGCCTATTTCAATAGATCCACGTTGTGTGAGCTCAGTTATCCCTTACCGTCGTGTGATGCGGCGAACGAGGCTTCCAAGTCAAAGTGACACAGCCGGCTACTGAGCACAGCCACACTTTGAGCCAGCGCACGTACGAAAACCTTTCATTTAATCCACGGATCGGTTATCCCGACATTATCGAATTTGTGGACGAGTTACAACCTGCTGGGGCAAGAAAAAAGCTCACCATGCGATATTTAAGACGCAGCGCAAGTACGCTATCCCTATTCGCATTGCTAAGTTCATTTGGCTAAGGAAGTGCCTACGTTCACCAATATTCTATGCATAAAAAGCAAATTACATTCCGGTAAATACCAGTAAAAGCCACAATTCTGGGTTTTTTTAGATAGAATTTGCAAACGTCCAGCAGCCGCTCATTCCCGCGCCGGAATTCCCCTCCCTTCCGCACTCAGCCTGCCATCCGGGTCCGTGCACGCTGTGCCCCTCCTGATTCGTCGGCACTTGTGTCTCGCCACGGCCTCTACGCCATCATGCCGCTTTCCAGGACGACACGTTGACTCTGATTCCGTCTCAGACACGATTTCTGGTGTTCAATTGAGCTGCAGAGCACGATCCCGGCGTGGCCTAGCTTCTGGAGCGCTGGGAGAGTTACCGATAGCCTCTGATACTACTTTTAGGGACACTTGCCCTGCTTTCTCTGGCACATTCGCGTCGTGGGCTACTGTTGGGCGCTTGTGCTCGGCGTGGTAGATTGAAGACTGATTGAATTTAGTTGTAATGTAAAATGCATTCTCTCCTTCGAGAGGTTTCCTAACTGCTCATCCTGTTCACCTTCTATGCTGACGCTCACCTTCTCATGAATGACGAGATCTTCACCATCTCATCCGCGTGCGTGACTCCTCAGCATCTCTTGGTCACATGTAGATCTTCTGTGAGTTCCGACAGCTACTCTAGAAGATGGCATGGTGCATGTTAACACTACAGGAATTTATTGGTGTATTATTAAGTTTTTACTGAAGTTTGTAACTTGTGACTGAATACTAAAGATATCAAGAAGAAACCCGCCAAATATCCAAGCTAAGGACGAGCACCTCCGTTCGCGTGAGAAACCGAGACCGCATCAAACGAACAGCACTGCATGGAACTAAGCCTGTGCTGTTCGACGAGGAGCAGTTTTACTCGAAGATATTTATCTGCACTCATGGTTGGAAGTTCAATCCGCGTGGGAGCGGAAGCCGAACAAACCACACGTGTCGATCTATTGGTTGCGTGGCGCGGCTAAACACCCTGCTTAGTCGATCCGATGACGGCCGTACGATAGCAGTGTTACAAAGCACACACCCATTCACAACCACAGCGTGGGTCCCAAAGAATACCGTACGTACGCTGAGAACCGTAAGATCGACTCTGTCGGGATCAAGAGGATAGCCAAAACAATGTGGCAAGGTTCGTCATTGCAGCTATGCAGTCAAATGATCTTGCTGTACAAATGTGTCGCAAAATTGTTAAATATTGCGATACCTAATTGGAGTGGGATCTGCATTACTTAACTGCAGCACTGATTTTTAATTTGTTTTGTTACATGTATCCTCGCTCATCAGCGTCTAATGGCCTTAGCTCCATCAGAGCATGTTGCACATAATGCCCTTACGCGTACAGATGCACAAACAGATACAAAGAGGCACACACACGTACCCAAATGACACATCGATGCAAAGAGGCACAAATAGTCACATTTTTACAAATAGTCATAAGACAGCGCAATATCTTAATTAAATACGTACATGTCCGAAGACGTCGTGTATCATGAAGCTAAACAACTTGTGGGGTACCTCATGAGTATTTTGGGTCGCGTCCACCACTATTACTTCTGATAACACCATAAAAACTGTGCATTTGCTGGATTTGGAATGTGATGATCCGGGCTATCTTGTTCTCGTCCACATACACAGTTGCAGTATTTCCTTTCTGAGAGAAGAACTCACGAAAGCAGCACTTTAGTCGGATTCCACGGATGTAGCACCACGGCGACTATCCTTCAGTTTCGATACGATGTTGTGGACGCTGCACAACGTGACTTGTTTTCCTAACCCACACAGGCTCAGCCAAAGGCTCTCCCTACGTTCACCGATATTTTGCGTAGAAAGCGGGCGCAGCCTTGTCGGTTCGGTACCGGTTCGCATCAGTATTATATATTTTTTTATCTATAATTGTGTTGTAACACAAGAAGAGTGCTTTGCAAATTTCTCTTTTTCGTCCACAAAGTAAGTATCTGAATGGATTGCCCTTATACCGCACGTTCGCCTTGATATACAAAAAAAAATTCATTTGTCATTATCGATACCCGACATTATGCTGTCGAATATGTAGGAAAAGTGCTTATATCTTTCGTATGATAGCTGCTTATGGTTAACTTTGGCATTCTGAATCACTGGAAATCATGTTAAGTTCCTGTCAGGGGGCGTCGTACGCGCGAGAGATAAGTACTGCTCGAACCAGTGCACGACGCCGCAGCTGTACCTCTCTTGTTTGACGCCAGCCGTAAAACGTTGTGGTTTCCATCTTCAGTTCCGGATTCATCATTTTCATGTAAACCTGAGTGATTATGCTCTCCAACTCATCGAGAAAAGACTCTCTATGGAACGGGTCGTATTTCTAAACGATTTGGCGCTCCATGTCGAAAATGATGCCACATCAGTGAGGGAAGCTCACGTCAATGTAGGAAGGGCAACATACTATGAGATTTGCGTGAACCTTCGTGAAGACATGGTCTTTGGTGTCGAGATATTTGTTCCTTCTTTCTTCGTCCGCCATTTGCATAAATCTCGAATCCACCACAGCGACTACCGTATGCTGTCGCCACTGTTGCATCATTACCTCACTAGCAGCACGGAGGGAGGTCACGTAGACGCAATAATCATTCAGCCACTGCTCTTCTGTGTACCCTGCTAGCTCCGTAAACGTAATGCCGTGACTAAAACACCGTCAACATCCATGGAACGGATCTTGTTGACCATCTGTCGACGGCATGTGTTTCCTTGATCGCAGGCCAAGGCAACTCTCTCCACAAACTTTATAAGCTTCCTCGCTTTTGATATCTTTGTGTACACATCGTGCCAAGTTTTCATTCTCTCGATGCCGACAAGGGAGAATGTCCCTACGCTCAAAATCGAGATAGCGATTTTGTCGGAAGCAACTTTCGTATCATTGATAAGCTCCTCGCGGATCTTCGCGTTCTTGGCTGCCTCTAAACATTTCAGTACCAGCTGTTCTATCGAAGACGTTAGTATGCAAAAACTAGTTTTATTGTGAGAATAGATATGGGAGCACGAAGCGGGCGTTTGTTTCTACAGCTCGCGTAGGGTCGCCTTTCATCACGAACACGTTTGGTCGCTTGTACACAGCTCTATCAAACATACGACGAATTCTATCCAGCGCATCTCCAACCACTTCATCCGATAGATTTCGTCAAAATTTTCCAGTGTAACATCACCAACATTCACAACGGTGTCCACAAACGTCAGCGTGTCATCAATCTCTTCTTTTCTCTTGGCCTTTTTGAAGTTTTTCTTTTGTTTCGGTCAGCCTGACGGCCGACTAGCTTGATTCAATTTTATTGCGCGCTTGGCCCCACTTTTCTTATCTTCCTGTTGTCCGAGATCGTAAACGTCAGAGTCCAAATCCAGCTTTCGCTTAGTCGAATGCGTTGATGTTTTTCGACTGAGTGCTTCTTTGCAACCCCCTGTCTTTTTGCTTATCTGTCACTGCCTTGCGTACTACGTCGCTTGGTGGCGCAGAACTATTGCTTGCACCGTTAGTTATCCAGTCCTTGTTGGTGTTGGATACCGTATCCCCATCACGGACCGTGTTGGTCATCGTATCACCACCACCGTCCGTGTTGGTGGTTATATCACCACACGCACCACCACAGTTAGCGATGGTGATCGTATCATCGCTCATGCTTGTGTTGGTGGTCTTGTCGCCGATATTACCAACATCATAGATATCACGGGTACTGTAACCATCCTGATCGGTTTGCTTTGAGACTGCACATACTGCTGTCTGGATTGGTGGGTCGTCATCATCGCGGATCATTCGCTCTATTTGCTCCAAGTAATCACACCAACTAGTAAAGCTTCGCTGCCTTTGTCTGCACCCCCCCCTCCGCGATCCGCTTACAAACTGCAAAGACAGCCCGGTGCTTCTCGCTCTGGGATAAAACGCGTTTCCCTTTATCGTGTTTAACATCTTCCACGACGTAGCTGTGAGTGCCTTTTGAAGTGTCATCTTCGCCACTAGCCTCTTTGTCGTCCTCGCTGCAATCATGGACAAGTGACCACCTTGTTGGGATGGCGTCGAATGGAATAGCGGACGGATAACTAGACGCCTCACGTCTCAAGAACATAATATGCCGACACGGGAGCAGGAGAGTTTGGTTGAACATGCAACTGCATGCATTAGTCTCCAAGCTCACCTGAAATTCGAAAAGACACATAGAATTCTCAGTTTAAACATTTAAATCCAATATTCTCCAAATCAGATATGCTTACCGCGAATTGATTTAGCGATGTAGAACTTGTCAACGTGAATATCGTTGGTGATGTTTTTCCTGATTCGATTGTGTAGTCAGCTTTCTTGCTTACCGAAAAACAATACTGATCTTCCACCAGATCGCATGCATGATGCGTGGCGATCCTCGCCAAGATTTGGAGTTCCTCGTCGTAATTATTGCTGTATCTAAAACCAACGCGCCTCGCCTTCACTCGATACTTGTCCTCAGCATTCTATTGTAGAAAAAGTAGGTGGTCGATGCATTCGTCCATGGGCATGTGGCGATCGAGAATATCTTTTGCACCTCCCCAACTAGCCTCTAATCGGTTGTTCGTATTGTTGTCCAAGTGAGGTATGTTCCCACGCATGAATGCACACCACATGGTCTTGCAGCCAATTGGACTCTAGGTACTCGAAGAATTGAGGTTTGTCCTTCGATAAAGTTTTGAGAGTTTGCAAATATCGGTCGAACTTTCGAGTGATCCGCTGTTCGCACCATCAACGTGACCAAATTCTTTGCATGCGTCTTTTCAATCGACGTGAAGCCATAAACCGCCTTGCTAATCTTGCGCTTGAGGTAGTCTATCACGTGAAAATGACAAAGAATCTCCCTGGCCTCCGGTAATGCTTCAGCTAACACCTCAATCTCGCTGAAGTCCTTATCCACGACCACTATTTTGATGTCCGACCAAGCTGGATTATTCTGTCTGAATGCCCTGAAAGCCCTCTTCATGTTGAGCTTGGTCTCCCCGTTGATTAAGGCGTCCTGAGCGAACGAGCACTCCGAAACTTCATAAAACTGAACAAGCGATATCTTCAAGTACGCACATTAAGATATGAATTGGTTTATATGCAGTAAATACATGTAGATTTGTGAAGAGTTCACCAACATGTTGGTGAACATGCCACAACTCGAGTCATTAGAGCAGGTCAATAAACTCTCCGTACCTGTTAATGCTGGTACCGTGTGTGGCGTCAGCACAGAGAGCCTCAGGGAACTTCCGAGCCATGCGCCCCATGTGAGCTGTTTGGAAGGTAATGCACCTCGTCAGCTCCGTGGAAGGGTCACGAAATATGTTGACAGCGTTCCCGGGTCCTTCTCCAAAATTCTGTAATTACTGGGAGACGCGGACGTTGTCATCAGGGGAAGTGTAGACTTCGCGTCGCAATTCAGCAATCAGATTCCCCACGTCCTTTGGCTGGATCGTTAGTCCAGACACCTCTTTCAAGTAACGGAGGATTTTTTTGCTTTTAGAGCCTCCTAGAATACACACACAATTTAATTATTATCAATCTCTCCTTTTGATTGCAATTCATTTCCGGCGGATAGACCAATTGAATTATTCCCTGCCGGGTGAGTTGTTAAAGTTTTTCGCTCGTGGGGATGCTGCTGGATGTCGGTGTAAGGAAACTTGTACAGTACATGTATGAGGAGATCAGTGGAATAACGACCAGAAACGGTCATGAAAGTATAGAATGGAGCCGCTACTGGCCTTTCGGTGTCCTGTACTGTACATGTGGGATAGTTAATCATTCCACGTCTGGGGATTACTACCAAGGGGATTGTCTGTACATGTATTTAGACTTTTGTGAGGGACGAAAAGATATAGGCCTAGAAAAAAAACATGTCGTCATGCGCTCTTGTCAATGCCAGGAATAGTTTGACCGTAGCTCATCACAAGCCAGCCTAAAAACGGCCTCGAATCATCAAAGCTGTTCCTCGGCTCAAGAATTATCAATCAAGTTGATGGCAAGCTTCAATGCATATGCGCAATCCTTGCGGAATGATAAACCGGCCACAAAAGCTTATGAGGAAGGTGTGCCATTTTTCGTGCCTCAACTCTCCAAGGTCAAGACCAGCGTCATGTGCCAAGGCAAGACTGAGAAGCTTCTGTTCAAGTACGAGACTGAGAGCACCTACACGAGTCCGGTGTCTCCGAAGAAAATTCCATATCGTAAACAAGGGAACCGCAGTCTGTACACTGAAGAAAATCTGCTGAGGCGTCAAAAACTAATGGAAGACCCGGGTGTCCTCCAAACGATTGAGCGCTTCTGGGTAACATTTCCTTGCATACGACAAGGGGGCGAAGCGATCCCAATGCATGACTACGTTGACGTATTCATGAAGTTCTACAAAGCCTTGGTCACTCCTAGCGAGTTCTCCATCGGTGAGGCGCGCTATATCGTTGAAAAGGACTGGGCAAAAGACTCCATTGACGGCGAGAGCATGTCCAAGCTGCTCTTCTTCGGGTCTTTATTCGAAGTGGTACGTTTGCAAACGGAACTGTTGACCTCCAGTTTGCTACTACTATTTTATAAATGCTGCTGCTTGCAGGCCGACATCTGGACCATCGACATCGGCGCGGCAGAGTACGTCGCCTTCCTCAACAAGCTTTTCGAGCGAGTGACTATGGTCATCTACGACCACGTCAAGCTGCAGTGGATCACTATGTTTGCAGAGCTGGATAAAATCCGCTCTTTCGATGATCCGACCCCTCCAGATGAGGCTTCAAGTGACCACAATGTGGATATTGGTAGTAGTAACACAAGCACTGACGCATCTGAAGCCTCTCGACCACCGCTTATGACGACGAAGACAAGATTGTCAAATTCACTGTTGCCCTCACCCGGCCCAGAGCCTGAGACAGAGAACGATGAGCGTCTGCCACTACTTACATCAGCTCGCGGAGGACACAGCGACAGTGAGAGCAGCAGTGAAGAATGGGGATCTTCCGCTACTAGTGACGATTTCGACCACTCTTCCCGTGATCATCTCTTCGAGCAGCAAGGCCCAACAAAAACGAGGCTGGAACAGATTCTAGAAGACAAGCGACTGCGATCTGATGACGATATGCGTAGTGAGACGTCAAGGACTAGACTCCCACGCCTCCATCTACCGGAAGTTTCCTCCCAGCAGGTTTTGCTTCCCATTCCGAGTATCTACCTGAATCCTGACCTGACACACGTGCACGATGCAGAGCGTGCAGCACGTAGACGCCTTCGCGACAAGGTCCGGATGGTGCAGAGACTTCGTCGCATCACTTACTAAAAAATAGTACTTCGGAGTACGGCACTGTGTTATTCCTTCTAAATTCTCATTCTGCTCAACAATTTAAAAAAAAAAACTATAAAATTGTTCATAAGAAAAAGGTTAGCCCATCTTCTTCATCGCACGGTCCTTTCGGTTATGGTTCGCCACCTTTGCCTTGTTCTTGTCTTTCCGAGCTCGTTGACGCTGTATCTGCTGCGGCGTAAGAGCTTCGTCTGGCTTCTTCTTCTCTCCGCCTTCCTTCTTCTTGTCTTTCCGTCGATTAGATTTGTGCGTTGGGCCTGACGAATTCTGCGAGGCTGCACCGACCGAGTTCGACTTATCAGGAGAATTAGCGTCTTGTCTTCTCTCGTCTTCTGCTTCATTTCCATCTCCATCGTCAGCTGCACTCAGTGGATTTTCACGATTCCTGTTCCTCATGCCTTCCCAGAAGGCCTCCTTCTCCTCCTGGACGCGGACCCGGCGGTTCTGCTCACGAATTGCGTCCTGGTCGTCGGCGCTGCCACCATCGCGGACACTGAAGGGCACAAAGTCGTCAAACTCGTCGTTGTAGTCGTCGTCGTACTCGTCTAGCGTGGCCACACCGTCATCTCTCGGATACACTCCGACGTCACCGTACTCGTCCTCTTCCTCATACATGCCAACAAGCTGCTTCATCTTGACTGCCAGCTGCTGGTCCTTCTTGGCGATCTGAGGGTCGTACGTCTTCTCCATCGCCTTCTTCCCCACCCACACACGACTAGGATCAAGTTTCGTGGACTCTAAAGCCTTATTCGTTGCACGCACTGACTTGCCAGTGATCTGTGCTTCTAAACGGACAAACTCAGAATCTGATCGTTTCAGATTTTGCGGTGCATCGAGCAGCACAGGCGGCGGGTTCCCTTCCAGTAGGAAATTGATCACCACCTCCACCTGTAGATTCGACGTCAAGAGACAGAGCTCCACGTAGCCTTCGCCCAGATCCGGGAAAAAGTCCTTCACTTGGTTCACCATCGGAATCAGATCCACCGACTGCTTCTCTTCAAGTGCCACGTCGGTCTCAGGCGCCTCCCACTCCGTCGCATCAGCAGAAAGCGCCGTCTTGACCTTCGTCTCTGCAGCGAGGTCGTCCACCAGCAAAGCAGGAAGAATGCGACGTCGAGGCAGCTGCTCAATCACCAGATCCAGGTACGAAACGTTCTCTAGATCCAGTTTACAGCGGTCAAATCCCTCCGCCACCTTGTGTTTGTACTCGCACAAGTGCCAGAGATCACTCAGATACGAGCCATGTTCCGCCCCGTCGTCCGCACATCCATTGCTCAGAGCGTGCAGTCCAGCCAGAAGCTGCTCCCCATTAGACCCCGACTGCTCGTCCACTGCAGCGTCCACACATCTCTCCAATGCCAGCAGCAACGCGTGCCGAATCTCGGCGATCTTCGGACTCTCCTGAGTCTTCAACGTCTCGTCGAACGTCGCCAGATGCCGCTGCAGTGTCGGTACTGACGCCTCGTAGCACCGCATGAGCGCGTAGAGCATCGACTGGCTCTGCCTCGCCAGCTCCGTCTCCAGATCCTCCCCGCCCAGCAACAGCACGTGCGTAACCGCAGTTGACGCCGTCATGCCGCGAATCGACAGACTCAGTTCGAGGTAGCGACGAATCAGATCCGTCACTTGATTGCGCTTAGTTTGCTGCACTGCGGTGTGAAGTGCGATCAGTTGTCGGATGTAAAGTTGCCGCAGCATACCGATAGTTGCTGGGAACGCTGCAACATTGTCGCTAACGGCGTCTAAGAGCTCACCCACCGCTTCCGCGTTCTTGACGCCAAAGATCTGACAGAACGGAGCGAGACGCGTTAAATGCAGCAGACCGCATTCAGTTGCCAGTTGTAGCAGCTGCGGCGCGTCGGGCAGCCGCGCGAACAGCGAAAAGACGGCGCCACTGGAGGCAGATAGCGACCTGGTCTCGTTGTCGTCCTTGCAACGCGCCTGCAACGCCGTCCCGCGCGTGAAAAACTCGTCCAGAAGCGGCAAAACCTGCTCGATCCCGTCGGCATTGGAGATATAGCGCTGGAGCTCGATGTCGGAGGCTCCAACGAGCGGGGCAAGCGCCTCCGCAAGCGTCATTTGTAGAGTAATTGGCAACTGACGCAGATCAATGTTTTTCAATTTTAAAAAATCTTACCGGTACAACCGGAAAGAAGATTCTAGGAACGTCTAGCTCAATTTATACCGGTATTAAGGAGAGGCTTACAGAACTGTACTGTAATCCAGTTGATTGTAGCTTGACATACATTTCATACGTATTTGGTCATTATTTGCAAGTCTCTCCACCCACCGTATCAAACAATGAGAGCAGCTCGAAATGGCCAGGTGGCCATGCATCGGGCCTTGCGCTCGCAGCAACGCGTGCTGCAGAGCCTTTCAGCTACGCCTTCCACGTCTAGATGCGCCTCCTCGTCCGTTACCCGCTACTTCCACGCGTCTAGTGCAGCTCTGGCGGGAGGACGGCGCACCACGTCGGACGACTCGGAAGCTGCACTGGCCCAGCAGATGCTGGACTTCTTGAAGCTCGCAGAGGAGGAGGAGCTCTCTCCTACAACAGACGAACCACTATCCACAGTGCAGGCTGAACTACCAGTCAGCGGCGTGGTTATGGGCGTACAGAACGGACTTGCGCGCGTGTCGGGGCTGCGTCACGCCACCATCGGCAGCGTCGTCGACATCTCGGATGCTTCGGGGCAGTCTGTAAGCCAGGGACTTGTGCTCTTTATGGAGAAGAAGGTGGTGCACGTAGCGTTACTAAACGCCAGCAGAACTCACCCCGTGGGCAAAGGTATGGACGTAACACTGCAACGCGAGCAGCTCGAGATCCCTGGCAGCGTCGCGGCATTCGCCGGCGCAGTCGTGGACCCGTTGGGTCGAGCCGTGCAGTTTGACGAGCAGGAAGAACAGCAGAAACAGGACAACGCAGCCAGTGACCGCGTCAAGGTTACGTGGGGTGCACAGAGCGTTCCTGGACTCATGACCCGTGCGCCTCTGCGCTCTCCGTTCGAGACGGGCTTGCTGGCTGTAGACTGTCTGCACCCCATGGCCCACGGCCACCGCTTTGGAGTGTTGGGACCGAAGAACTCTGGCAAGACGCGCGTGGCGCTAGACGTCATCGCACACCAAGTAGCGAAGGCCAAAGCACGCGGAGAAGTTCCGCCACAGTTTGTCTACGTGTGTATCGGTAAGAGCACGTCGAGGATTCACCAGATTCGCGACGCGTTGAGAGTCACAGGAGCGCTGGAACACACGACGATCATCGCCGCTAGCGACCGCGACTCGCCCGTACTGCAGTACCTGGCGCCGTTCACAGGCTGTGCCGTAGCAGAGTTCTTGATGTACAACGGAAAGTCTCCGAGAAGTGTCGTGGTGTACGACGACTTGGCTACACACACGACAGTAGTTGAGGGACTCGTACAGGCGCTGCGTCTGCCGCGTGTCGCCCAGATTAGTCTCAGTGCACACGCTGTGCTTATGGAACGCTCCGCCCAATTCAAAGGAGCCACACGGAAGGAGACAGGCCCATCGCTCACGTCGCTCGTGCTTGTCGATGCCCCCGACAGTCTGCAGGTCCCGTCCGAGTTCCAGGAACGGGTGACGTCGCTCGTTGACGACTACGTTGGTCTTGAGTCGTTACTGGCACGCAGTCGCGTGTTCCCTCCTGTGAATGTCTTGGCGCCCGGTGCGTCCGTGCGTGGCCCTCCTTTCCAATCCGCCACACGCTGGACGTTCGTCAGTCGTCTACGTGCGCGAATTAACGCTGCGGCGCAGGTGAAGCAGAACGTGGAAGTAGCTCGCAAGTTGGGCTTCGAGACGGAGCCGGAAGACGCAGAGACGCTGGAGTTCTTGGAGCTGGTGCAGCAGTTCTTCACGCAGAAGCCTTTGCTGTCAACGACGATGGCAGAGCCTGAACAAACGGCCCCCACAGAGCTGGAGACGGAGCTAGGCGCTTTCTTCCTGACTATTGTGGACGTGGCGCATCTTCCTGGTAGTGAGGGTGTCGAGGACGCACCGTTGAACCTGTGGGAATTCCTGCACAACGTCGTAGCCACGTTGTCTCGTGACGAGAACTCGGATATTCTGCATCAGTTGACGACACCCTCGCGCTCGAAGGCTTGGTCGTTGGATCTCCAAGAAAATTTGGCCTTGGCGCTGTTCGAAGAGCTTGAGGCAATCAAGCAACGTCGAACGCAGGAGTACAAGGAAGAACAAGCTAAGCGCAAACAATACCTGCGCAAACTTCAGGAACGCAAAGCTGACCAGACGAAGGCTTAAGTCTGTTTTGGCTGTGACTAGAGTCCAGTCGACACCTAGAATAGCTCGGTTGGTTTTGTTGCTTTTGTTGTTGATGATCGTACTTACATGTTGAGTGTAGTAGTACTACCAGGTTTTACGAAGCTGATCTTCTTTTCCAGCTTGAAAGCGGACGCTACGATTTGGTCACCTGTGTCGTGTCCTACGTAGTACTACTGTAGTCCATGCGAAGAAGGCCAAGAGAGTTTGGATCGAAAACTACCTGTTTCAACACATTTATATAGCAAGTGCTTTTAATAAATTTAGAATCTCAAGCACGAAGTCGACGCGCGTCTTCTTGGTTTTTCTTCGGGCACTTCGGAATGCTTTTATCAAAAAGCCGCTTCAGCCAGTTCGTAAATCGATTGCAATTTTTCTTCTTGTGACGGGTGACGACGTCGTTTGTTCCGTACACGTCCCCTCCCTCACTTGCCGTGTCACCTCCTCCTGTAGTTGCTGTTGTGTCCCCTCCTGATATCCCCCCTGTAGTTATATGGCCTGCGCCACCTCCAACTCCTCCTCCACCTCCTCCTCCTCCACCGCCGCCTCGTCTCTCCTCTAAAGCCGCGCCACCATCGCTTAACTCCCGAGTACCAGTGTGAAGGCTGGGCGCCGTGCCATGAACCAAAGCCGATCTCGCCGTGGTAATCTCATTGGCGTTGATTGAGATGCCATTGCTGATAGCAGCCACAGCGACAACAGCGGCCAACACGAGACGAAACAAAGGCATTCTTCGTGTTGAGTCAACACTATCGACCAGCTCAATGATTTGGAGTCTCCAAGTCTGGAAGTCTTACCTTCAGCGGTACTGTACACAAATCGATGGCTGGGAACTTCGTGATTCACGAATCGTGAAGGTATGCTTGAGCTTTGAAATTACCAGTCAATCCTCTCAATAGTGATAGTGTCATTTTTCCATAAAAGGTGTTGTAATCAGGGGTTAATGGTACAGTAGCTACAAAAACGGTGAGGTTAATACCGCTAAAAGGTGATATTATTGTGGGTAATATCACCTTTTAAAAATTGACATGTTTTTTTTTTTAAAAACAGTATTGATACCTAATACTTACTTCAGATACATAATAGTTTTATTAAAAGTGCAGGCTTTTACTTAAGTATTAATGGTACCTCCAAATTTGGTGAAGTTAATATAGTGATAATATCACCTTGTAGACCAGTGAATTTAGAAATATTACTTAATACATCTAATATTCCAAGTCTAGGAATTACTACCGAGGAGAGTGTCTGTAGCTACGAGTCGCTTGGTTATTTGATGTCTTTTTTGCCGAGTTATATAATTTTCAGTGATGCCGGTGTCATCCACGGACAGTCGCAGGGATCTATTACATCCACGGATCTTACTGAGGGCCACGCCATTCCACGAAATGCTGTGATCCGATTGGATAAACATTTGCTAGGGCTAGAGTTTAAAGTAAGTACCATTACCTTAGCTTCTCCAACAATCGCCCGAAATTTACCATACACGTGCTCCGAATGTAATTCCTCTATGTTACTGTACTATGAAGTCCTACCGCCACAGGGGAATTTATTGACAATCCTCTCGACCGTGGTATCCTACCTTCTACACTCCAGACATAGATAGCAGCGTTTTTATAATCAATTCATCTCGAAAGAATACAAAAATTCCGAAAACCGGTATTTATACGCAGAGTCCATTAAGTATGTAAAGGAACCATTTAATAGCGATGCCTAAGCATTGGCTTTGCTAGCTTGTAGTCGTGTTCGATTGATCGACGGGCTTTCGGCTTCGTATCTGCACTAGTTGGGGGGGCGATAGTGGCCTTGGTAGAAAAAGAGATCGAAGCACACAAGCTGATATCCGACCACATTGTTCCCTCGTACTGGTACACTCTGGATCGTATTAACTCCAGTTTCTGATCATAAACTTTAATGATACCGGTAGCGCAGAACGAAACGGTAAACTTAAGAAACCTTCGAAGTAGTTTTCGAGTTTGGTATCGAAAGTGCATTCAAAAGAGCTCGTCGTGATCTTTCTATCATGTGTTTCTAATTCCGTTAGCTACATTTCCCGCCATATATCTGCTTGACATTTGTTTTCTTTAAGTTCGGCTTTTTGTTTATTGACATACTTGGTTGTGCTCCAGGCAGACTATTATTAATAATGGTGTCGCTGTGCGAGCTTACTAGTATGCAATTTGCTAATATATCAATAACTGTGACCTTGACGGAGCACCTTTCATGTTAATAGCAGAGTAAGTGAGGCACGAAACGTTTGGCATTTACTGGCCGTCATTCTGCCTTTAACCGGGCGATGGCGTTGATCAACAGTAGGGAAAGAGCTCATAATCTTAGGCGTAATTAGCGCTAACATTTAATATGGGCTGATCGCCCATTTTCAGTATGCCGTATTTAGCATTTAAAGCAAGACCTTCGCAAATACCATATATGGGGTATATTTTTTCATTTTATAAATTAGAAGTACGCGGCGCCTGCTAATATTAGCACGAAAGTTTTTATCTGGGATACAAACCCGATTAATTCGCCAAAAAAAATGTTTGCAAAATTTAAAAGCTTAGATAAACTCGTCTGTTTGCCCCCTTACGCATAATTTCACTCTGAAATATGTGCATCTCCTGAGCCTGCTTCACAGCTGCAGAATCTGCTGGCCTCCTCAAAGTACCATCGTTTGCCGTTGGATCTACACGTGGCTATGAAAACCTCTACTACTTATGTGTTTTGTTTTGGATTAAGCCAAAATTGAACGATGATCTTGCAGTGTTCGCGAAACCTCTCAGTGTCTATTTGCTGTTTCCGCGACTCAAATTATGATTTTTTGTCACTGCTCGCGCAAAAATCGGGAGTGTTAGTGCTTGTTGCAATTTGAGCTTACTCGTTGCTTACGCATTCTATTGGCTAATTCAAGTAAATGACGCACTTTTAACTTGGTTGTGTCTGCCATCTCGCAATTATCTATTACTACAGTAATCAAACAGATTGCAATTTCCTCCTTGCTCTCGTAATTAGTGGGACGAGCACAAAATCAACATGCTCCCGGGTTTTTGAGGAAGCAGAGCTTTGTGGATAGATGCTCCCGCTCGTACGACGCTTGAAAGCGCTATCCCAGCCTTCGCATAGCAGTTCATTTACCACGCCATCAACTGAAACTGGAAGCGTCGCTTACCAGTTTGAAGTGCAGAATCCGAACGCGTGTACTACGAGATCTGTTCGAGCCGTTTCGACAAGATCTTATCATGAGAGATGACATCATTTCCTAAACTTAGGCTTGCCAGAAGACAATCTGCTGATTCTGTTCGCTTTACGACTAACCTCGAAGATGACGCATTTCTTTTTCCTTTTTCTTCGGGCACTTCGGGATGCTCTTGTTGAAAAGCCGCTTAAACCAGTTAGTAAATCGGTTGCACTTTTTCTCTTTGTGACGGGTGACTCCATTTGTGTTCCATAGTCCAATACTTGGATTCCCTCCCCCGTAGTAGTAGTAATTGCGGCGTCCTGTCCCTCGTGTTGATGTTCCTCGTCCACCCCTGCCGCACCTCGACCTCCTCCTCCTCGACCGCCCCCTCTTCTGTCCTCATCGGATTCGTGCCCTGACAATTCGCGAGTGGCCACATGATTGGTGTTCGTTGCTCCGTGGAACAAGTCAGACTCGGCCATGGATATATCGGAGATCGCGTGGTTGGCTGTGAAGCCATTGCTGACTCCAAGCATGATGCCGATCACGATCACCAGTAAGATACGAATGCAGCGCACATTCGTCAAATTAGCCATGTCGGCTTTGGCGTGAATCACAGAGTGACGCTGTCACGCTTGATGAGGAACTGGAAGATCGGTGAAAAGTTCCCACCGGCTGTATATCTTCGGCTTTGACGTTTACGCACCCATTAATGTACAGTATTAAATTAATATTAGCAAAACGTTTACATGTACACCTCTATTAATACTATTAATAGAGGTGTATATGTAAACGTTTTGCTAGAAAGGCGAACTGAACCGATACCGCTACCGGTACTGCGCTGTTGAGTTCGCGCTCAACTAGGTATTGCAACCAGCGGACTACCGGTACAGTATAAACTTTCAGAAAATCCTTGCCAAAATGATAATCTTTATATCGATACGGGGGGGGCTACAGTGTGGTACTTGGTCACCTTTAGAAATGCAACCAATGGTTGGCTTTGGACGACCTTGGTACCTTGTACCAAATATCCCGAAGTATGACGTGTCACACTTCATGTAACCAGGGGTATTCTTAGGGATACGTACCCCGTTACATCCTCCCCCACTTAGGTTCGGTTTACCGACCAATCAGGATGAAGAAGTGTTCGTCACAAACTCTCATTCTCAAAGTCGAAAACCATCGACTTGGCCGCGCGAGCGCGGCGGAGGCTCACTTCACAGTTAGAGCCTCGAGCAGCAACCTGTGCGCTCTTCGTCTAGGTCTCCAATTCGACCGTTACCATGCCTCGTGGCACAGCAAAGAGCGGCGCTAAGACACGCTCCAAGGCTGCGGCCGGAAAGGCGCAAGCCAAGAGCACTAAGCCTCACGGCAAAGGCTCGGCACTTCAGAAGGCTACTCAGGTGGCCTCCGAGGCGATCGGTTCATCGGGCGACAAGGATGTGGGCAAGCGAACAAGAAAACGCAGCAGCCCGTCACCCTCGGCCTCTCCAGACAATCGTCCGAACCCTCGGTTCGTAGAACGTGAGTTCGACTCTGGCAGTGAGGACGAAGCCGAGTCCGAGAGCACTCATGATGCTCCTGCGGGCTCTGTGGGAGGGCACAGCCCAGTGCCCAGTGAACACAAAGATGACAGCGTGCAGTCGCCCGCTAGTGATCAAGGTGATCACAGTCCTAGGACCTCTGTGCGCTCTGAGAGTCCGGCCGTCAAGGCTAAGGACGCTCCCAAAGCCGGTGGCGATGAGGGAGAGAATCCTCGCAAACGTCTCTCGCTTGCCGAGGGTCTTGCGCGTGCTAAGGCCTCCAAAGCCGAAGGCGCCAAGCTCTCAAAGAAGCGTACTGCCTCTAAGTCTCCACTCCGCGAGGAGAAGGAGACTCGTCGCTCCTATCGGAGTATCTTCGACTCCTCGGATGAAGAGGAGGCGAAGGAGGAAGAAGAGGAAGAGGAGGGGGCTATCATTGAGCCCCGGGAGGTCTCGAATGACCTCGACCAGCAGCAGGAGGATTTCCAAGCTGCCCAGCGTGTGCGGGGGGGGGGTTCGGTGGCGGCACCCGTCAGCCAGGGAGCTGCCATCAACTCAAGAGGGTATTGGCCTCCCGAGGAGAACTCTGGGGCTGACCTCTTCTTAGAGCTTCTTGTGGTGTAGTGATTTCTCCGTAGTTGCGGAGTATCACCCGTCGACAAAGACGTGACACCGCCCAAGTTGTTCAAGCGACGAACCCTCGGTCAGGTGATGTACGGAGACGCTAAGGTGCAAGGGACTCGACAGCGTCACCTCCGAGTTTTCAACAAGTATCGGATACGGCCCTATGTCACTGAATCCAGGCTGTCCTTATTATTAATAATGGACTGGCCGGATTCGCATTCAGCGGACCATCTACGGTACGAACCCTCAGTGGCGGTTGGGATGAGTTCGCAGAAGACTCCGCGACCCTTGGAAGGCACTTTCACCGTCTGGAACAGGGCGCGGACCGTTAAAGATGCTCATGCGACGGTGCAGACGACGCTTGGCATGCAAGAAGATCCATAACGGATCATTGTTCACTTGATATTTGTA